ACAGCTTGTGTCACTGCATGTTCAACGCGGCTTTGCACTTGAGCTTAATGCCATGTTTCTTTTGTGAGTCTTTCAGAAAACATCAAATTTTGGACCCCGTGGTTTGGCGTGATCTTGATTTCAATCAGGCCTTGGTGGTCGCTGTGAGCTTGTGTGACGCGCGTGGAACATGTCTGCATCAAACCGTTCTTATGATTCAGCCTTCGAGGTTGAAGAACCGTTCTGTTGCTTTTGGTTCTGCAGCAGAATCCATTCGTTGGACCCTCCTCGCGTGCCATGACGATGTTCTTCCTTACGCTGTTCCTATTGGCGGAATCGGCGGAGCACTGCGAAAACTGTGAGTCTACAGCCTTCCTGCTATACCGAGAGGTGACTCACGTGCCTTGGGAACCATCTGCGCAGGTGGTTCCAGATCTCAAGATTTGAGATCTTAAAGTGCTGATGCATGCCAGGCCCGAAGAAAGTTACCACTTGTACGACAACAAGACAAACCGGTCTGTCCGGGTTCAACATATTTTTGTTTCTTTGATGGTTATTGGGATTCTTAAGGATCGTGCATTTGATGCCACATTTGTTTGGTTAGGTTTGAACTTGGATGCAACCGTGTTGAAAAGTTGAATAAAGGATTGTGCCTCAAGAATGGCCATTGTACCAACACATGTTTTGCCACTGTGGAGTCATGAGGGTCGACCTGGCAAAGTCCTCGAAAACTCCACCGAAAGGGCGACATGTCAATGAAAATCGTACTGAGACCAGACATCATCTGAGGGCTTGGATCTGATGACGACGAACACAACGAAAAGGAATTGCGAGAAATGCGTTTGCGAATTTCTCGATAGCATCACACAGTGCGGCAGCTATGACGCCTGGCTGCCGGACAACCTATGTATATATACACACGTTCTTCTAGAGAATTGGTGCATCAAGCAAAACATGAGAGGCATGTTTGACAATCAAGGCCCTAAGGACACCCGAAGCTAGTCAAATTTGAGGGTGCCAGCGGACAGCGAAGAACACCTGAACCCCCCGCATGACACCAAATTGTGAGCGTTGCTTCTCAGCGAGACCTGAGCGGGACGTGCCAAATTTCAGCGGCACTTTTTTGATTTTGTTTGTTTAACATGGTTGCCAATCACCTTTCCGTCACGGTCACGGCCTACGGTGGAAGCATTCATTTTTCCAAGAATCTCTCCAGCTTCTGTGAGGAAAACGGCATGAACCCGGTTCTCTCCAACCGAGCGGAACAGTTTTTCGGCGCCCGGTCAGGAAGTTGACAAGGATATCGCGGAGTGCGAATTGGAAGAGACGAAATGCGGTTGGGCACCTTGGAGAGGAGCAAGTTGGACCGGGTGGAGTTGATTCCTTATCACCTTCACACATAGAGTGTTTCTGTGCAAACGGTTGAGCTTTCGCGTGCGCATGCACAGTATAAATTTGTAGTCCGTTCACCCAAAGCCTTCCTTTGGTCAGTACAGTAACCTGATGTTTAGCCGTGTCTGCGCCAGAGAAGTCAATGGCCATGGCTGTTTTGGTTGGTCCAATCAGTGTTTGCATATGGAGTGTTGTAGGATTGTTGAGGTCATAAGCCTCTTAAAGCGCCTGATTCGGGTCTTCCTTTTCCTCAAGCCTGCAAGGCGACACCACCACGTTCCTAGTAGTTGAACACTTGAGTGGCCCGTGTTTTCCATTTTAGTCGTTGTTTTGAAGGATGCACATAGTTCTAAAGTCTTGTTGGTCTGTCATTGACTGTCAGCATGACCCCAACATATAGCAGATGAAGCGCTAGCCCTGCTTGGCGATTTGGCTTACCCACTAGCCAAGTACAGCATCAATATCAGCGTTCCCCTGCGAAACTAATCTTCAATATCACTCTCATTGCATGGGTGCGATGGTGGAGAGTGGCGTTGTTTACGACACACACCCAATTGAGCCGGGTGTGTCTTCTTCAAATTCACGACTGCTCCAACCGCTCCTTTCGGTCCTAGACCCACCTTCAACGCAGCAGGAGTTTGAGGGAAAGATGCCGAGCGGGTGCTGCTGGTGTGGAACTCGAGTCCATGGACCTCTAATGAAGATGTTTAAAGCTGTTGTTCTTCATATGGAAAGTTGTTCTTGCCTGGACTCTCTTTATCAGTGGCCCTGCGCAGACTGTACGTGCTGTGCCTATTGAGCTTTGTTTTGGTCCTCCTGGCTTTTGTACTGGTGATCTCTTCACACCCGCGTTGCAGCGCCGCAGTCCATCGGTTCCAGATTCTCGGTAACCTCATTTCTGGGTTCCATCCTGATTCTCTGACTTTCTTGAGAGATACAGTATTGCATCTCTCAAAAAGATGCCCGACATCGTGTAGATGTTATTTTTTCCTGATTCTTTTATTCATGCTGTGTTCAGCCTGTTTTTTTGCAGAGCTTTTAGAAAAGCGTGGTGCAACACTACACCTGATGGCCTAGCAAAGCCTGGGGCTTCTGCGCCCAGAATGGATTCTGGGCTCAGGAGATATTCAAACATGGTCTGAAGTGCATCTTGAAGCCGCAGAAATGCAAGAAGTACGTTTGTAAGCAGCTCTCTGGCATTTGAAGAGTCTGTTTCAGTTGGCAAGAACCATACAGTTCAACCAATATTGCCTCCAAACCTGATGAAGCAATCGCTAATCTCATGTATAGCTGTTTCAGTTCCACTTTTCAAAGCCCTAGGACTACCTGCAAAGTGGGGAAGAGCTGCTTCAAGAGGATGCCTTTCGACCAGTGCCTAGATGAGCTCGGACACAGCACCTCTGTGAAAACTGCCGCACCATGTCCGCAAGAAAGCCGCTGTAGACTCGCCACCTGCTCCTCCCACCGACCTCTCCACCTGCTTTCGCCCTCTCCGGATCGACTGGAGACCCACCGAGTCCGGTCAGGTGAACGCCTTGAAGACGGCCAAGACCTTCATTGTCAAAGACTTGAAACGACCCTCAGAAGGCTTAAGGCTGACACGGAGCAGAAACAGACGCAAGTGCTTCGGTGTGTTCTTTTTTTGAGTGAAAGAGAGGTGTATCAAGGTGTATCACCTAAGTTAGCTGGTTGTCTTAAAGGCGTTTTCTCCCAATAAAAAACACTTAAGCACTTTGCAAACTTTTGGGCTGGTGAGATATCAAAACTTTAGTCCCAGAGTCGCACTGGAATCTATGAGTGGCTTGATGATGCGTGCATGGTGTGTCACCATCGCCTGTAGAGTTTGGCATAAGCATCTCATGTGCTGGATATCAAGCAGCTGGAGGGGCTGGAGGGAAGTGGTGGATGTGACATGCCAAATCGCCAAATCAATTCATTAGCAGTTGAACATTCTACCGGCTCAAGCGCTGTTCCAAGGAGATGTGCTGCGTGGGCTGACGAGCGTAGGGAACGACTTGCTAGAGTTTCTCACTGGCACCTTCCCTAGAGTCTCAGCGCAAGACCAAGGTGCTGCCGCGATGTTGACAGGAGCAGGTTACCACTTTGGGCAACTCTTGTGCAACGCCAGTTGCACCAGGCAGCTTTTTGAATGCACATGATACATGTGTTTGGACGGATCTCCAGGTTGTGCTGTAGATTAGTTGCCCCTCTACAAGTGGTACTGGGCGAGAATCCACAGTCTGGCCTCTTTAGTCATGTTGTTGGACTCATGATTCCGGCTCCTCATGCAAGGAGAGATTCAAACGCTTATGGACAAGTTCAACGTCCTTGACATGGCCAACTCATTCCAGAAGATGGCGCCAAATCTGCAGTTGTTTTCAACAGGCCCTGCATTTTGAGTTGTGAGATATCTGACCCCAGACTCCTGAATGTTTGTCAAAGATGGCAGTGTTGCGCCAATCAAAGTCAAGTACGTTGTATGTTTTGGTGCCTGGCATCACTACTTGGAACCCGGGCATCGGCACGAAGGGAGCAAGGACGCTACGAGGGGCTCCTGGCCGTACTACTAGGAGCAAGAGGACGCTGCTAGTTAGGAAGATCCCAAAGTCAGCCGAGCCCCCCCACAACATCTGGTCCCCTCAAGCAGCTGGATCATCTTCAGGTCATCCATATTGTTGAGGATTGCTATGATGGATTGATGTCCTTCTTCAAGAAGGTGAAGAAGATCTTCAAAAAAGCGCCTCGAGATGTTCGGGGAAAAACGCCCTCTGCTATTTTACAGCTTTTTGAGCCAGCGTTTCCGAGCCGAGTCGTTACAAAGTGTGGGATAAATATTTGAAGATTGTGCCTATGTGAAACAATCAGCACGAATTGGGCAGGCAAGAGCAAGAGCTGTCTTTGTTAAGGATAACCCTGCACAAAGATTGCAGCGGTGGCAAGAAGTGTAGCGTGGGAGAATTGGGTCATCTTGACGTTGCAGAGTCACCGGCAGCAAATCCGACCCCTGGTCCGAGGCCACGAATGGTCCCTTAAAGCTTCCTCGGAACAAAGATGGAGAGTACTGCGCGTTGAAGTGGGACATGACGATGTTCACCTACACGGACTGTGGCTTGCGAGCACACAGGATTGGCAATGAATGTGGCAGGTCCTTTTTTGTTTGTACAATCACAACCACTATCCACTAGACATATCAGCAATGCCACAAAGTGCCTTCTGCCACTAGCTGTTTTGGTAGTAGGGTGTTTTCACAAGTTCTCCATGCCGTAGCAACTGCACCTATCTTATGAGCGGAGAACAAAGGGGCAGAAGAAGGCCAGCCTTTGATAGAAACAAGACATTTAAGTCGTATGAAGGTTTTGGGAGTGATTTGTTGTGAAGCAGACTGCCAGCTTTGAATGGACAACGCCAGTTCTCTTGTTCTTTCTCTCGCACGGACTGGGGAGCAGCACCTCATGGAAGCCCCTAGGGATGCAACGCACCGGAAGCCGCCCGTTCCGCCCCCTTTCAGCCGCCCGTTCGTTCCCACGAGGGGTCCATAATCTGTCCACTTCCTGCCCTCGGTCTGACACGTTCGTCTTGGACCCGACGTCGCGCTGCACGAATCAGAAAGGGCCACGCGACGACGTGTCCAGGTGGCTTCTTTGATGCTTGGGACAAGCTGCACTCACATGTGTCAAAGCCCTACGACCACAACATGTGGTCCACCTTTAAGAAGGACTTTGACACTCTGGCCAGAAAGGGTTTTTTTGAGTGAAGCTGCTGAAAGCCTCTTAGGCAGAAGGAATGTAGTTTGAGAGAAGCTGCAGAGAGCATTTTTCAGAATTTCGCTTCCAAGAAGCTTTGAGACCCTGACATTTGGTGAAACCTGACTCGAGATTGCTGCGGTTTCCGGCAGGTGGGTTGAAAAGAAGAGTCGCATCAATGAGTGTTGATGTTCGTTCTTGCAGTGTTGATGTTTGTTTCTACAGTCGTACCTTTTTTTTTTTTTTTAAATATATATATATATAAAGGCGTAAGAGTCATCACGAGGTTAGTTTATATTGTTGTTGTTATACAGACGTACGCACCCTTGCACAGTTTATAGGCCCAGGGGTTGGGCCTTGAAGGTGAGTACTGGGTTTACTACACTCGTTGTTTCACTATCTGTAAGTGTGGAGTGTATCAAAAAGAAGACAGACAGACATGGAGTTAAATTGTATGCTGCGGCAACGGTTTTTGTTTGGGCAAATTGTTTTTGGGCAAGCATTTAGTTTCGACCAACTCATCATGAAGATGCTGAAAAAGAAAGCTGGTTGTACTGTTCATCCACATGGCAATGACTGCTGAGCCAACCATGGACCAAGGAGAGGATGACTCGAGCTCTGGCAAACTGTGCCGTGCTGACGACGAAGATCCCTATCTGGAAGGACCTTGTGTTAACCAGGCCAGGATATCGGTGACATTGACATAGAGGTTGCCGTTTTCAAGAAGAGCTCCAAGCGATTTCGGACAGGGATGCTTTGGTTCAGGGTCATGTCATGTATTGTGGAAGAGGAGATCCCAATTCATAGAAGCTTCAAGGTCAATCCGTGCAGCTGTGGTGGGTGGGTCATCCATGTTAAATCTGGTTTTGCACCCTCAAACAAGTCGACCATCAGCTAGTAGACAGCCAGGTCAAATCACTTGTTCCTGTCCATGAGAGAAGGGATGCGGAGCCGAAACAACAGAAATGGGTTTTCCTTCGCTGCCAACCATCTTAAACACAACGATGCACTTTTTGCAAAGCAAAAGGCAGAATATACACTGTGTATATATATATATTTTATGTGTTTCGTCTCGAGTGCTCGTACACCTAGGTCCAGGTCAGGTCCAGAAACGGCGACCACGTCGGTCGACCGAGTTGCTAGGCTCACGCCCTTTCGGACGTTGCAAGAGATGGACTTCTGTATGCCAAAGCACATCGCCGACGCGGCGGAGACCACAATCAATGCCTTGATCTATGCCAAGGAGCACACCTCGGACGTCTTCGATGAGGTGCCTTTGTTTTTCAAGCAATTCCAGCCAGAGATACATATTTGAGCCGGAGGGACATGTTTCCTGATACTTTCTCTTTCTCTATCTTTCTCTTATGTACAAGTGTCCAAGCAAAACAAAGTGTGTGAACCTCAGAGCAGCAATCGCTCGTGACCGGAGGGCCGACGCCTCGTTTCGGAACCTGGATTCGTCTCGTTTCGGAACCTGGATTCGTCTCGTTTCGGACCCTGGATTCGCCTTGTTTCGGAACGCGGGTGAAACGGTCTCCCGAGGCTAGGAAGTGGTTTCTGGGAAGTGGTTTCTGGGAAGTGGTTTCTGGTGACTGGTTTCTGGCAAGTGGTTTCTGGGAAGTGGTTTCTGGGAAGTGGTTTCTGGGGAGTGGTTTCTGGGGGCTGGTTTCTGGGAAGTGGTTTCTGGGAAGTCGTGTGGTTTCTGGGAAGTGGTTTCTGGGAAGTGGTGTGGTTTCTGGGAAGTGGTTTCTGGGAAGTGGTTTCTGGGGGCTGGTTTCTGGGAAGTGGTTTCTGGGGGCTGGTTTCTGGGAAGTGGTTTCTGGGAAGTGGTTTCTGGACGCTGGTTTCTGGGGGCTGGTTTCTGGGAAGTGGTTTCTGGGGGCTGGTTTCTGGGAAGTGGTTTCTGGACGGTGGTTTCTGGGAAGTGGTTTCTGGGAAGTGGTTTCTGGGAAGCGGTTTCTGGGGGCTGGTTTCTGGGAAGTGGTTTCTGGGAAGTGTTTT